AGATAGTGAGACAGATGGAGAGATAGTGAGACAGATGGAGAGATAGTGAGACAGATGGAAAGATAGTTAGACAGATGGAAAGATAGTTAGACAGATGGAAAGATAGTGAGACAGATGGAGAGTGGAACTATCCGGTTGGCGTGTCATGTTTGGGGAATGTGTGGCCCAGACACCTCCATGCATGTTTAAAAAGGTGCCGTCACTCCATCATGTTAAGCAAGCAGCAAATAAAGACAGTTCATGAAAAGTAGAAAAAATATGTAAGACGGAGCAGATTCTTTTTTTTTTTTTTTTACACTTTTTCACACAAACTTAAACAAGAAAAAGCCTCAAGTCTCTGTGTTGGTCACTGTTGAAGTAAAAGAAGTATTTTGATCAATATAACTTCTAAATTTCAGCCTGTTCAGACTTTGAGTGCTGAACTTTACAAAATGCCTTACAAAGACAGCATCACCTTTTCTAGTGGCAATATTTTAATTTTCAACGTTTTGGCAAACAGTTTTTAATCTTTCCTAAAAAAAAGCATTTCAAAAGAATCAGTATCTACCTGCTGAACCCAGATTTGACCCCAAAATCCAGAGTACAGATTTTGTAAACCATTCCTCTCCTAGTTTAATAAATTAAAGCTCAATTTAAACAAAAATGGACATTTTCCTAAGAAAGTGTGCGTAAAGGAGGACAGGCAGGAAGCAGCAGCTGCTTAGCGCTTTAGGAAAACGTAATGTTTTTATTGTTCAGATACAAATCAAGTGGTGACGAAGGCCTGAAGATACAGTGAACGATGAACTGCTGCCCACAGCTGCAGGTTTCTGGAATTTAAAGATGAAGTCTGACATGTGGCTCACAACGAGACAAGTCTGAGCAGAGTTTAAACATACCTTTCTGTGAAGCGTGTTTCTCCGTCTTTCCAGCATACTCAAAGCCAACAGCTGACTGAAATTAAAAAATAATAATGTTTTACTTCAGCTAACCTCACAGTCCACAAATACCATCTTCAACAGCTTCCTGCTGCAAATTTAATCTTTTTTCAGCTAATTTCAGCTGTTTTGTGCTTCTTTCAGTTTCTTTCTGCTAATTTCCACTTGTTATGCTCGTTTCAGCTTTTTTTCTGCACATTTCAGCCTTTTCTGCTATTTCAGCCACTATTTAGTTGTTTTGTGCTAATTTAAGCTTTTTCAGCTAATTCCACTTTTTCTAGCTCATTTCAGCTCCTTCTGCTTCCTTATGGTAGTTTAAACATCGTTCTGCCTTTTCAGCAACTTTTCAGCTATTTTTAACTTAGCTAATTTCAGCTTTTTAGTTAATTTGCTCATTTTTGTGCTAATTTGTGCTCATTTAAACATAATTCACCAAATATGTGTTCTTTTTGCTTTCTTATACTAATTTAAGATTGTTCTTCCAATGCAGCTACATTTCAGCATGTTTTTAGCTAATTTCAGCTGTTTTTCTGCACGTTCATCAGCAATAAGTATTCACACTGCATTTTTGCAGGAAATGCAATTTCTCTAGTTACTTTTTTCTGTCACTGTAAACGAATAAAAGGTTGCAACCTAAATTTCTCAGCTAAATCAGCATGTGAACTTGGCATAAAGTCCATTCTGTTTCAAAGAAATGCACAAAAACATAGAATGGAATGGCCGATGTCCGATATTTAACCATCGCTAATATCGGCCAATACGGATACATGCCGATAATACCGTGCATCCCTAGTCCAAATACAGATGAAATGACTGACACTGAGGAACTAAACTGAAGCCTTTTGTTCATTTGTTCGACTGACTGGAACTACTCTTCAGCTAAATATGGTTTTCTGTTACACCAACAAGCTAAATGCACGGTGAACACATTTGGACCGAGCTTCTTTGCAGCTCATCAAGTTTTAGATCATCTTAATTCATCATTAGAGCTTCACAACTTCTTTATTGATTTCTTTCTTCTTTCAGCTGCTCCCTTCTTCAGGGGTCTCCACAGCAACCTATCTCGCAGGAAGACTTGGAGATTGTTTTTACGCCGGATGTCCTTCCTGACACAACCACAGCCCTCTGTGTGGAGCAGAGATCTGCCATCTAAGACGCCCGGGGAAGCAGATGGGGGTTCAGGGCCTTGCTCAAGGGCCCAGAGTGGGGCATTTCACTTGTTCTTTTAGATTTATTGCAACAATATTAAAAATACTTTGAAAGACAGATATTTTAATATGTAAACCAGGGGTGCCCAAAGTGGGGCCCGCGGGTCAAAGTTGGCCCACCAGACCGTTTCAGTTGGCCCACCAAGCTGTCCTCATCACTATTAGGGAGGGGGCCGATCCAATCCGGTATCGGCTTCCAATACCAGCATAATTAATGTATCAGATTTTTCCGATCCATGATGCACATGGTAAATGGTCTGTACTTATACAGCACCTTTCTATCTTATTTCAAGATACTCAAAGCACTTTACAACAATCTGTGCCTCATGTACCCATTCATACAGCTCTATACTAGATCTCTACAAAGCTAATTGAACAAATCATTCTAACGAGACTAATCAGTGCTTTATCACATTCATACACATCTGTGTCTGATGACCTGCTCTGCATGTTGGCTTCAAACTATGGAATGGATTTCCTGAACGGAAGTGTGTCTCATGAACCCAGAGTAATAAGACCCGCCTCACATTCAGGAAATCCAGTTCATAGTTTGCAGCAGCTACAAAGTGAGTAAATACTTTTTTGAGGGCTGAGCACTGAGCAGCACTGTTGCTAACAGCTAACCAACTTTTTATCATAACATCCGCTGTGTGAAAGTATTTTACACCAAACACCGCAAGACAGCAACGTGCAATGTCTGCAGAGCTGCTGTACTGAGAGGAGGAAGCTCGGTCGTGACCTACAATACAACAAACTTAATAAACATTTGAAAAAGCACCACATTAAAGAGCACGAGGACTGTTTAGCCAGGCACCGTGGTAAAGTTAGTTTTACGTTGGACGTTCAAGCTCCGTGGCTTCAGCGGTGTGTTCCTCTTGTTCAGTCCGGAGCAGACAGTCTGATTTCAGTCAGCTGCGCTCACTCTGCCCGTCTCGGATGAGCAGACTGAACTCAGACTGTCTGCTCCGCAGCTTGACTGAATATTTGCAGCCAAGATATAGTTTATATTTACCCTCCAGGAGATATTTATCAGCTCAAGATGAGAGTTCTGTGATGGAGTTAAATTAGCAGTCTGCTCAGACAGATGGTCTTAAATTATTATTTTTATATATGAATGTTTCTGTTAACTTATTTTAATGTTTCTGGGGGTTCGAATCCACCAGCAGTCACATGTTGAAGTGTCCCTGGGCAAGACACTGAACCCCTCATAGCCTCTGATGTGTGTCCCATCAGTGTATGAATGCGATAAAGCTCTGATTAGTCTCTTTAGAATGATTTGTTCAGTTATCTTTGATCTAGTATAGAGCTGTATGAATGGGTAAATAAGGACACAGATTGTAGTGTAAAGCGCTTTGAGTATCTTGAAATAAAATAGAAAGGAGCTATAAAAGAATAGAATTAGAATTCAACTTTATTGTCATTGCACATGTCACAGGTACAAAGCAACGAAATGCAGTTTGCATCTATCCAGAAGTGCTTAGCAAGAAAAATAAATTGGTAGATATATATAGTACAATATACAGTAAGTTGCTTTGAATATGCTATAGGTATAAATATATACAGGTTGTGAGTGTACAGACTCAAAAGTACAGTCCATTTACCATTTACCATTTAAAGGGCGTTTACCTTTGGGACAAATTGAGGTTACCGATTGGTCATTTGTTGACACGCGTGCTGGATTGATTGACAGGTCACGCAGCGGAGCCAACTTGTGGGGAAAAAAAAAAAAAACTAGAGCTGCAGCTGGCCCGGTCATGCGGTGGAGGCAGGGCAGCCCAGGAGCAGCGGTAGCGTGTTCTGTGTTTATATGTTGATAATAAAAAGTTCTAAAAAATAAATAAGTAGTGTGGGCCGGCCCTGCAGCCCACAAATCAGACCGGCCCACCGGGAATTCTCCAGACTATCCCGATTGGCCACTCCAGGCCTGAGGGGGAGTCAGTAAATACCTTGTCAACACGATCAGCCTGCACTCCATACTTCCCTCCGAAGCCCTTGGAGGTGTCCGTCTGCGAGCAGTGCTTGGACAAATTGCTCTGGTACTCGTGACCCACAGCAGACTGTGAAGACAGACACACACAATGGATAACTTCAAAAACTAAACTAAACAAAAGTAGAAAACAGAGTGTCCAATAAGAAAAATGGAGGAAAGGAGAATAGGCTGCAGTTTTGAAGTGGTAACATCAGACATCGCAGGCATGCACCAGAGACAACACAAATGTAGGGGATGTGTGGAGGCTCACAGGTGCTTGCAGAACCAGGTTTCAGTGTTAAATGGGCATGACTGATGCAGCTTGTTCTCATACAAACTGCTGCTTTCTGTCAGTTCTGAGTTCACCCACTGTAGAGTTGTCAAACCTACATAAACTTCTGGACTGTAGAGCACACCTGAATACAAGACGTGCACACTAAATTTTAAAAACAAAAACAATTTTGTACATAAATAAGCTGCGCTTGTTTACGAGCTCAAAGTGTTCACGTAACAAACAACACACAGCTACTGACAGATGTACAACTTGTTGTAGATGAAGAATCAACCACCAGATGATGTTTATCTTCATGTTCTACACACACAGACAGAGTGAACACCGTAGGTCGTCATGACAACTACCTCCCTCATTCATGGGTACTCTACTGAATGGCCAAACACAAACCAACACATGATGAACACAAACTAAAACATGATGAACACAAACTAACACAAGATGAACACAAACTAACTCATGTTGAACACAAACCAACTCATGATGAACACAAACTAACACATAATGAACACAAACTAAATCATGATGAACACAAACTAACTCATGATGAACACAAACTAAATCATGATGAACACAAACTAACTCAAAATCAACACAAACCAACTCATGATGAACACAAACTAACTCAAAATGAACACAAACTAACTAATGTTGAACACAAACTAACACATAATGAACACAAACTAAATCATGTTGAACACAAACTAAC